TGTATATGTAACATAACAGTGGAGATCAAAACATTGCGTAAATGTAGATCAGCTCTAAATACTGCACCAAAGCATCCATTATGTATGCCTAATTGACCTCAAATCGCTTTAACACTTTAACATGGACCTCTGATTTAATTATGTAAAGGTGGTGTCCAAGTGTCTGAGTTCCCTCTTTAAGATTTATCGTAGTCGATTGAATCAATGATCAGAATCTTCTAGTTTCTTTGGGGGTTAATCGAATGCCTAAGGTCAAGTTAACACCAAGGACTTCAAATTCACACAGAAGATAGGATCTGTGTCTTTAAAAGTCCCTTGAATGAAAATTCGCCCCAAGGGGAACAATCAGTGAAAAGAAAAGAAAGAATTTGAATAAAATAATAGCTAAAAATTTATATGATCAGAAGAATAGTAATAGTGAAAATAATAAAGTAATAACAATAATATCAAAAGAAATATAAAGAGTGTTTTTTGTTAAAAGGAAACTAACTAAATTTTGTAACTAAATCAATCTAGTAAGTACTTATAGATGATATCAGTCATACTTTCATAGAACAAAATTACATGATTGTAAAATAGTAATAGTGAAAATAATAAAGTAAAAGCAATGATCTAAAGCAATATGTATAGTGTTTCGGATATCTAGTAAGTGATTATAGATGCTATCATTCATACTTTCTTTCATAGAACTAAATTAAATGGTTGTGTGAAAAGAGCAGTCAACAAAAGACCAGTACTGTAGCAATTGAATGAATGTATTATTTTGTCTGTTTGGAGCCGGAAGGGCGTTAATTCATATGCTTTAACACAGAATTAATGACCTTCTGGCTCTGAACAGATGACTTTTTGATGAAGATGATATTACTGGTCATAATATAATAGAAAGAATTTGATAGTGCCCTAATGGAACTAAAATAGCGGGTTATTTGGCAATCTCGAGTTGATGAAGACAGGCCTTATGAAACTATCTACTCTCTCTTTGCAGATAATTTGTCTTGCGCAGTCAAAAGCTGTCTGTAACACAGTGCATTAACCAATTGAAAAGGCTGTTGATTTTTATTCTTTTGTCAACATGATGATGATGATTTGTTATGATAGTTAATGCACTTATTGGCAGCTACTGAGTATAGCTAGGTAATACACGTTGACTTGTCTCACTGACGGCAGTAAGACTAATATTGACTCTTGCCATTGCTCTCGCGATGTGTTGCACTGTAAGCGGTCATCAGTGGTCACTAATGGCCGACTGACCGGTTAAAAAGACAATTTCATGCAAGAGTGGACTGTCGCCGTGCTTATGAATTGTAAATGAGAATTTGTAGTGGCCGTCCGACATTGGCACTCAAGGTGTTGGTACTGCTAGATAAAGCTCCCTCCGAACATAATAGAATAAGTCCAGTTCACTAGTACATTACAAATTTGAAATCATTTGAATTATTTGAAATCATTTAATTATCATTTGTTTAAAGTGACTCTTTGTGATTTGTATGCCTGATATACACTAAGACAATATTGGCCCTATTTACTTTGAGCCCTTGAGAGTTTATCATTTTACAGAGTACCGACTATAATTCTTTATTGAGTTAATTTACTACCATTATGTAATATATCATAATTTGTTTCATTATGTGATATTCACACAAGCAAAATGTATATAATTGTGGTATGTTGCCAAATTTTAAGTTTTCAAACAAGGCCCAATATAGTATTATTTTCCAAAGATGATATAGATTTTAGCCATCTGGTCCCCGTCGTATAAACAGTTGCGACTAATCGCAACTTATTTACAATAAATCACAACTACATGTATGCGCATAAGAGATAGAAGATAAGGGATAAGATTCAGGTCAATCACAACTTTTTATAAGACAGGACTCTGGTATGATAAAACAAGTGGTTTATGAAAATATAACTTGGGAAGTAGAGTTGTATTTTGTAATTTTGATAAATAAATCATCCTCAACATCCGCTAAGGTGATTTGTGTGTGTACTATTCCTCATGCTATATGTACTGTGTATTTTATTATGTTGACACATTTCTGAAGAGCATACAAACTTGATATTGTTTGATTATTGACCATTTATACCCTTTTTCCAAAATATTGTATTTGTCTATTTTGATTGAAAAGCATTTTGAATATATATTTTGCAGTGTTTTTGTAGAAAATATATTTATTTCAAAGTATCATGCAAATATCGTCCTTGTTTTCACGAAGTGACGGTAGTGAGGAAAATCGTCACGCAAAGTGAATGTAATTTGTTTTCACTACCGTCACTTCGTGAAAACAGCGACGATATGGTTATCAGTTTATCATAGACTTTTTTTTCCTTGATAATCTCATGGTGATTTGGTTGTGGATATTAGTCTTATTTAATCTTGGAAAGTTCAGTGCAATTTCAAGTTAATGTTCATACATATTTGGTCATGTAGCAAATGAGCAACAATGTTGACTAGCATACACTATAATACCCTCTGATTTAATATTATTTGCAAAAATGTTAACTAGTATGATGCACTTTTAGATTATTAGTCTTTCTAAATTAATTATAGTGACATTTATCATATCCCATACTATTCTCACAAATAAATAATCATTAAATAATCATTAATTCAAGTATATATTTTAATGATCATTCCACAATGTATATTATCATTCCATGGATTGAAAGTAAGGAGTAGTGAACGCATGACATTGCACTGAACTTTCGCATTGAAAAGCTTTGTAACTAATTCTCGCTGTTGCATATCGTAAAAGGAAAGGCAGCTTTAAGCTTTACCAAGTGAGGTTCACTAATCATTGGATGGCTGAATTCTTAGGAACATATTTCCGATCTGAATAATAACCAAGGAGATATTTTGTATATATTGGAGGGATGGGGGATAGTATTTGAATTTATTGGTCATTTCCAAATTTACTCATTCTTTAAATTTGAAGTTATCAAATATATATGCTGAAACATATATTTAGCAAAAGAACAGTGAAATGGAAAGAGAAATCAAAGATTAATGAGACTTTATTGCAGTAAATGACATTGAGATGACATTGATTATGAATGAGTTGATATCTAGAGTAGATAGTGATATGTTTTGCATGCCGGAGTGGAGATTGACTATTTCATACACATCGATTCTTCAAACATTTTCCTCATCTTTTTTGTTGGGATATATCCCTATTGAAAATAGATATATAGCTTTATTAAAAAATGATCATTATTTTTTCAATTTAATTTTTATTTCATGGACAATGATTTTATAGCAAAACTGAGCATTGTAGTAGTATACTTTGAATTTGGCAAAAAGTTCATTTGAAGCACTGTATGTGTGGGCTGCTGTAAGATACAATTTAAAGCTTGTGATGATTATGGAACTTTTTTATTTTATTTAAATCATCCACCAAATGCTTAAAAGTAAAGACTTTAGACTGCTCTGATTCAAGCCAGGTGGATAAGATGAATCTTATTAGATGAAAAAAAAGTCATCATGATTCATAGGAAATAAAATCATTGTGATATTTAGGAAACAATCAAAAGGAAAGGTTTACATTTTGAATTGAGATGTAGACCTACTATCTCCCTTTTCCAGCAAAAATCAAGAATTGTCTCCTTCACCAATCAAAATTTGAACCCACAAGTAATAATGTTAGTGATATGTATTTAGTCCATTACTCTCCATTGGTGCATTGCATGACATTTATTGTATTAAAGTGCACTGCACTTTCATTAGGTGCATCTTCAATAATAACAAACCCATATACTCATGCATATGTATATATCTCTTTTGCATATTCATTCCTTCCTCCCCTTCCCAATCACACCCGTACACTATATCTATATCCCAACATTGTACATTCCTTTCTGCACTCTCCACGACTATACCCTAAACAAAAAAAATAACAACAACAAATTTCACATACATGGGAAACTTTTTCCAATCAATTTATTTGCACAAACTGCATTGAAATTGATATCGTGGGGAAATTTGTCAAACACAAAAACAAATACATTGTTTTAAAATCTCCTTCACTACCTGTCATATGTCACTAATACAAATCTACCTGATTCATCATAAATTATCCTTATGTGTATTCATTGCTTTCTGCTTGTTGTTGTATGCATGAATCATTCTTTGGTCGATGCATTTCTTCTCTCGTCTTTTGTCTTTTGGTTCTCTTTTGTTCAATGTTTCTATGTCATTTTTTTGGTTTTTATTTTTACCAACAACTTTGAAATATGCATGGCTCTCACATCTATGTTACCATTTTTACCGTTTCTTTCAATTAACTATTCTGGTTCAATTGTATTTGTGGCATTTTTATTTATCATTTTTATTACACAATCATCACCTAACACACCATTTTGCTATTTTAATCATAATTATTATCCTGGGAAATACTACTCTATGTATTCATTACTACATTTTTGATTTATGATAATTTTAATTACAATTTTTGGTGTGTCTACATCATAAAAACTTTTTATTAAATCAAAATTTATTTTAATGTTGCATTTGATATTACAACCTGTTCATTTAAACAATAATCATATTCTCAATCATATTTTACGATGCCAAAACCTCATACAAAATCCACATATATGCTCACACATGATCTATCTTTGCCTACAAATGATAATAATAACAACCACTCATACTTTTCCATCTTCTTCGGACTATATTCTTGCATCCTACCAACTATATCAACCACCTTTTTATTGTATCCTTTTTCTAATCCATGTGGTTCCCCATTACTTCTTTCTTACACCTCTATTGATCCAAATTTAACAATTAACACTTGTTAACAATCACCCCAATCTCGTATTTCTTCCACACCTCACGTCTAACTCCACCCCCACCATTACACACCCTCACACTGTCACCAATGTCAAATTTCATCAAAACACAACCCTCCTACCACTACCACCACGACCACACCCCTTTTTATTACCCCTCACCTGTATACATGCACCCCACACACTCGAACACACATATCTGACTACTGCAGATTGATTACCCCGATGCACAGTTACTGCACCCTGGCCAGAGGCAATCCTGCACCCCTACCAACCTGGAGCGACTGATGGCGCTGGAGCAGGACGAAGTCAAGGTCTCCGCCAACCATAGAGGGCGATCTTTGAGCGAGGACCGAAGCCACGAGGATGATCATGAGGTAACTCTATCCTTTCATCCGTTTTCGTTAAAAAAGAAGTTTTATGTCATATGTCGTATTATATCGGCGATGTCTACCACCCGGTTCTGATATATTCATTAGGTAGAATCGTTCAATCAAGCACTTCTTTCATTTCAGCTTTCATCAGATTTGAACTATCTGAAAATATGGATATCATGAGCTTTTTCAGGGGTCCATATCGAGTGAGGACTCTGTGAAATTTATCACACATTGTACATACGTGTGAAAGAAAACACCATTAGTATTTTTTTTTAGATTGACGTATAATTTTAATTAGTTTCACATAATCAAATGCGGTCATTATTTTGATAGACATTGATGTTTACATCATTATTAACAAGTTTTTATATTTCTTTCCCATGCGTATTTGGGAACACGGTAATGACCATATGTGTGAGCCGATGTCTTCTTGCTAGCTCTGCGTGATTCTATCTCGATATTCTATTTTATAAAAGCCCCCCTTTTCTTATTCTTGTCAGAAATATAACTAAGGGAGAAAACAAAAAATCAATTAGTAATTTTCTTTCTGGCCCCTTTAGAATTTGCACTGTATGTGTGTTTAATACTGAAGCTTTCTAGTTCACTCTGCAAAGACACTTTATTGCGCAATATAATGCACAACAAAATAATATTTGAGTACGTCCTCTTATGTCTATAAACTTCTTCTTTACTTCCATGTTTTGCTTTGTAAATGTCCGATCAAAGATTTGTATTTTAGGGAAGAAAACACTGCTTTGCGCGTAGATGAGAGTTTTTCAAGACTGTGCGTTGATATTTCTTCTAGCTGTCGTAGATCTAGCAGAAACGTATTATATATTATACACAATGTAAATGAATGTGCTGATATGAATATGCAGATTGAAATGCATTATGTGATGATCGTCTGTTGCCTGATATTTGTCTGTTTCTTATCTGAAATCTATTATCTTTGATGTCTTCTTTCACAGTTAGTTGCTATCTTTGTTCTGCCCATTTTTCTATCAAAATGTCTAATTTTACTCTTTCTACTACTCTCTGCCTCTCTCTCTCTCTTCCTTTCTCTTCCATCTATCTGTCTTAATCTCTTTCTCTCTCTCTCTTTCTTAACTCCTCTCCATTTTTTTCTCCAATTCACCTTCACTCACTCTCTTGTATCACCTCTATGTTTTGAGACTGGTTTCTGATCCTTTCTCTGTGTCTCACTTGACAGCCTCTTCCTTCTATACGTCTTGAGCGAGCTCTCTCTGTGGGCAGCGAGAAGGTAGCAACACCACTCTGTCTTTATATCTAGCCTCTGCTTTAATAATGCATGTGCCTGTCTACCGTATTTGCATTCCTCAGAACTTAATGTTTCTCTTATAATCTGTCGTATTTTCAGTGTTCTTTAATTTTGACCCTGTTATAGATCTATGATACATATGAAACATACTAATTTGAAGAAAAATAATGGTACATATTATAAGTAGTGAAGGTAAAATACTATGACGACGACTGATCTTATAATTTTCTTTACGTTTATTGTGTGTTCATTTTTTTTTAACACAGAAAAAATGACAATATACATGCAGATACTTTTGCATGTTATAGTAGTAGAATTATTCATATACAAATAAGTTTGATATATATATATATATTTTATTTTGAGATTTCTGTTTAGTACCTCATTGAATGGTATTATATCAGAGAGTCCACTTTAAAAATACTTTTTAGTAGAAGTAGTATCATTTGAATTATTGTCATTTCTATAATTATGAACAATTTTCATGAATAACAACAAAAACATTTGCAAAACAGTAGATATAGTGCATGAACGTCACCCTACTAATAGTATTTGATTGTTTTTAGTCCGTCTATATGCATCAATTCCAAACCCAATTATAGATGCATAAGATAGCAAAATCATTTCCATATCATTTAAAAAAAATGCAATATGCCCCCCCCCCAAAAAAAAAAGGGGGCATGCGAGCACATGTTTCAACTAAAATAAAGTGAAATTAGATGTATCGTGAATAGTTCTTCATTTTGAAAGTATTATAGATATTCATGACCATGTTTAAATGTTATCACAGATAAAACCCCTACATTGATGAACTGGTGTAATATGTCAGTTCAATGTTTATGATTTGTTTGCATGTAAATAATCACAGCATGTTAAAGATAGATATTTATTCATCTCACCAGCAAAAATGTGCTCACCCATGTTTTTATTTCCTCTAGCACTTGCACTTGTTACCATTGCAATCAAAATCAGTCATCATTTAAAAGAAAGATGAAATAATTCAGCAGCCGGATATAGTAGCTTTCATAATGTGCATCTGTTGCCCAAGGTATTTTGTTATCCCCGGAGTAAAAGAAATAGTTTTGATGATGAGGTAAGAAGCAAGATAAGATGTTTTATCATCTTGCAAAATCAGTCAACTCTGATGACCTTAGGAAGTTACTAATATTGAGAACTCAAAAATAGTATTTCTATTTGCAGAAATATTCAAGACTATTCTACTTGTTCGTGAAGTAGAATACGTTATTTGGATTTACATATCAGAATACTGTTGTATAAAGAATTGTCGTATTAAGAATTATTGTATTGTGTAAGGAGCGTACAGACTGGATAACAACATCCTACCAAGAAATGTTATATTAAGAATCATCATATAGTGAAGGGACTCGTTACAACATAGTAGAAAGAAACGTTATATAAAAAATCATGGTATAGCGAAAGGAGCATACAGACTAGATAACAACATCGTTTGAAGAAACGTCTTATAAATAATCATGGTTTAGCAAAAGGAGCATACAGAGTACATGTAGATAACAACATCGTATGAAGAAACGTCATATAAAGAATCTGGTTTTGACGAAGTCAGTTGAAAAGTCAGCCGGACAATAACTAGTCAGGTCATTATACAACGTTTTCTTTATAAGCCATTCAGACTACACCATTTTAATCACTTATTGTATAGCTATACAATGGATTTTGGTAGTGTGAATGCATGGTTGTAGGCTGATACTAGGGTCTAACAGATGTTCCCTCATATTTTGTTGTGAAATATGATCTCCTCCCTAGCCTAGCTGATGTAGAATTCTGAACTCTTTCGTGAAAGTGCTGTTTCTTGAGTCGTATAGCTGATGGTCGTCTCCTTGTATTGTACTACTGCTAAATATACCCTATGCTGGGAGCCAGGAGGGTTTAAAGGGAAGTTTCAGTTCTGGGAAAGGTGAAAAATAGTTTGAGAATTTTAATTCTTGTTATGTTAGTGTAGAAGAGTATCATAGAAAAGTGTCCCCTGAAAAGGGTTGCTGTTCAAGTGCCCTCATATTCGAAATATGATGAGTAATAAGTAAAGGTTGTGGACCACACTTTTGTGCCAATTGTTTGTGTAGTCCCATAACCCATATACAGTCAAACCTGTCTGTAGTGACCGCCCAAGGGAAACACAAAAAGTGGTCTTTGTAGACAGGTGGTCACTAAAGCAGGTTTGACTGTACACATTTGTGCATACATTAAGGCTAATCTGTAGGTACAAACTCTAATTTGACCCTTTAATACATTTCACAAAGCCTTGAGCAGAGCCTAGCTCTGACAGTCTTTGGCTGTGTCCAAAGCAGCTTTAAGTACAGAACCTATGCAGTATGTCATCAGCCTAGTCTCACAGAGCAGACACTGTTAAACACAGCAACCAATACGGGTTTGTGCCAGCAAACTAGATGAAGGCATGATGATTGAAAAGGAGAATTAAAATGTCTCTGTTTGACGTCAATCATTGCTTAAGGCGGTAGCAACCAGTGAATAATTGATTGAGATATGAGACATTTAATGCAAGTACCCCCCAGAAAGGAATAAATGTTTTGGACCTGTAAGTGGAAATGTCAATATCAGCTGCATTCAACATGCCATAGTCATTGATTTATTATGTTCTTTGATCATGAATAAATCTTTTGACCCCTCCCCCCCCCCCCATCATCACCATCGCTTCCTTTCTCATATCTATAAGTATGAGAGTGTAGAATTTCTTCAATCATAATTTCTTCTGCTAGCTGAAGGGGGAATCCATTTGTAACAATCATGTGACGGTGACCTTTTCATGTTATGTCTCTTAGTCGTTGGAATATTTTTAGCACTTTGGTAGTTTGCGCCCACAAACCCTTGTCAGTCGCTCTGCGTAACAGTGTCTGCACTGCGAGACTACGCTGACAGCATGCTCAGAACCAGAACGGCGTTAACTCTGCATTAAAGTACATAAGTTAGTGCCCTTCTGGCTCCAAACGGACATTATATTTCCATTTGCAAGTTGCCAACAGGATCTCCTGTTCAACATTTGGTCAATTTCCCACATCCATTCATAAATTTCAGAGCACTTTTCCACTTTTCGTCAATTTACCCATCTGCAAATGACATCAGAGACTAAGTGGATGTGTCTCAGTCGCACAGCAAAAGGGTGCAAATTGAAGGGGATTATGCACTGAGCAGGACGTGATATCATTCCCAGGCATCCTAATTAATAAGATGAGACATGATTAGATGATAGTAGGTGATAACGACTGGATGTCATTGACACCAATGTACGAATGATACCAGTATTGGAAACCAGGATGTCTTAAAGTACCGGTAGACATTGATTCAAATAGACATTGCATGTCGAATGAAAGCTCATGATCTAAAGAAAGTGAAACGTGTCATATCTTTCCCTAAATATACATATATGACCACAATCAGACATCAGTAATCAGACATGATGACAAATTTGTTTTGTTTTTGTTTTTATGACTTAATAAAGTACTTTAAAAAAAATCTGTAACAATTTTCTCAAAATTCCTGAGGTCCTAAGCTTTCCAATGATATATAGTTATATTTTTATAGAATGGCTGCTCTTAAGCTCATCTACAGTTATGGTAGCAAAAAGAAACATGTTAAATATAGTATTATGGTGTTCTCCTTGTATCGAAATATACATGTACATGATAACCTGGTCTTCTGTTCATAGTTTCCAGCAAATTTAAGTGTAAATATCTGCAAGGATGCATAGATAACTTCCCAGCATCTTAGAATTGCAAGTATCTTGCTAGCTATCTAAAATCTAAAATCAAATAAATTAAATGAAAAGGTTTTTTTTGTGGGCTTACCAAAACCATAGGTTCCCTTTAAGATGGGTGGAAGAGTTCTTCTTCTTCTTGAATCTTCTATAAAGATACTCATCTTTCTATATGTGTGCCAAGTGGTATATCAGTTCATGTGAGAAAAGGATGTTGGGTCAGTTATCATGTTCTCTCTTCAGAGCTGTATCCGTGTTTGTCGTCTCACATGACACGCCTTTTTCATCATTGTATCGAGTTACTCCAATGTTGTTAATGACTCATGCATTAAAAGCCAAATCCGTTTTAATAGTCATAAACACCAACAACAACAGCAAGAGCAGGGGAGTGTTTCACAAAGACTAAGTTTGAGGTAACAAATAATGAAAAGTCACACTTTCACCAAGATTAATAGGAAATAAATGTGGAAAGATGGGAGGAAGAGAAGAGAGAGAGAGAGAGAGTGAGTGCGAGAGAGAGTGCGAGAGAGTGCGAGCGCAACAGACAGACAAAGAGGCAGACTGAGAAACATGGAGAGAGAGAAAGAGAGAGAGATAGAGATCATAGAGAGACAGACAGACAAAAACGCAGACAGAAAGCCCGACAAATATAGAATATATGTTTGTATATATGGATAGAAGAGATAGAGGATGTAGACTTAATGTGACAGGAAGCAAAAATACAATACTGGAAATACTATACTTTTGATTAATGCTTTTCTGGGAAATTTTCAAGGTGAGGCAGATTATTTCACTGCTTCTAATTTCTTCCCTTTGGAAATTTGATAGCGGAAGAAACATGTAGCTCTCTCTAAAGAGTCACTCAACTATCAATTGATACTATCATTACATGCAAGAATGAAAGAGACTGTTAACGATTCTTTTCATGATGTTTCTTAAAAAACAAAAGGTTGGAATGGATCGATTACTTGACATGAAGCTAATAGCCAATGTTTTAAGTAGTTTCAATTCAATTCAATTCAATAAAGGTTGATACGAACATGTTTCGCAGTAAAAAGACTGAATTATACATGTTTTCCAAAGATTAAAATACATTATGAATACAAATTGCAATTTTGAATCAAACATAATGAATTAAATACCAAATTACATTAAATACTTTACATCGATAAGATTACAGGTAAATAATGCCAGATAAGATGTTAAAAGATGTCGTAAAAAGTATTATTAA